TTATTATTATTATTATTATTATTATTATTATTATTATTATTAGTCAACTCCCCCTGTGGTTTGATAGCATGCAAGAACTGTTAACATTAGCAAGATGAGCGTGATCAAAACGTTGAATCACGAATAAGAAATATTCCTGAGTACCATCAAGAACATTCAACACTTGGCAATGTTCAAAGTTTTATATATATAAAACAGTGATGCCTCGGTGACGTCACAGGCGAGGGTGTTAGCCCAGGGTATATAAGCAGCTCACACCCCACAACTCACAATAACACAGCTTACCTCAGTGGAACAACAACTAAAGTTCTGAACAGTTCTTCAGTGTTCAAGTGTATATCAGGTGTCCCAAATGGCTCCCATCTCCAGTCGCGCTTCACTTTCTACCAACACTTGCAGTTCTTCGCAAATGAACAGCTGTCAGTGTAGACATCTTGGAGACAGTCTATGGAGTTCTTACCTGCCCATCAGCAGACGGGGACTTTTCTTCCAAGACTGCTATTTCGGACAAGCTCAAACCCTGTTGGACCGCGCTGTCAGGGACATACTTAACAAGTGGGGCCAGACACAACTACTCACTGACACATGGAATGACAACAACTTGTGCCTTTCCAACAATCTCAGTCGCTACAGGCAGCTACGAGCACACAACTTGAAGAACGAGATATTGGCACTAACTTCCTCCACAGACAACACTTCTCATAAGGTGAGAGTCTTCTAGCTTTTAGAAAAACATTTTCAATATCCATTCATTACAGAATGATAAGTTAACTGCTGCTCTGAAGACGAGACATTGATAAAGAATTTTTTACTTGGGTACAACTTCATAAATTATACCATTTAGATCCACCTTAGTTAATAATGTAAATAAAACCAAGTCAAATTTTTGTAATGGGAATGTTTGTAACATTTGAAAAACGTTTTATGGTGGTGAAACAGACATACTATATAGCAAAACTACAATAAACATGAATCAGTTTCATTATGCCAGGTAACATGAGTTCATAAGATGAACATGTCATGTGACGTGAGGTAATAATACTGGTTCTGTATTTCTCTTGACAATGGTTATTTTATTATTTATTTTAGTTTACTGTGAAATTAATAAGAAATTATTGACACGAAGATGTGATAATATTGCAGATAGTGATTGATGTTCATGACTACATTGACGGGGAGGTGAAGGTGAAGATACTGGGAGAGAAGGAATTGATGGTGGAGGCTCACAAGAAGATGGTGGGAGAGAGAGAAGTGATAAATGGGGGACACAGCAACATAAACAAAGAATCAACAGTGTCCTCACACAGTTTAAGACGTCACTTTATCTTGCCAGACATGACCAACACGGACGCCATTACAGCTGTAATGTCCTCTGATGGTATACTTACCATTATTGCTCCTAAAAGAGTGAGTACAATCCTTTTATGTTTCATTATGAATGATAAACCATAAAGTATCTAGATTTAAAGTGATGTAAACTTAGTTTTGTACCTAATGAATGTTGACTTCTAGCTCCTGTCCCCACATTCTAACCTTCAGTCATCTGATGTAGGTGGTTCCTCTCCTCTATGGTTCAGTATTATCAGTCTTTCAATCAAAGTGTATGAAGTGTCTTATATGTATCATATTAATGGAATGTTCCTGCAGTGTTTTACATGTATCATATTAATTGTTCCTGCAGTATCTTACATGTATCATATTAATGGAATGTTCCTGCAGTGTCTTACATGTATCATGTTAGTGGAATGTTCCTGCAGTGTCTTACATGTATCATGTTAGTGGAATGTTCCTGCAGTGTCTTACATGTATCGTATTAATGGTATATTCATGCAGTTTCTTACATGTATCATATTAATGGAATATTCCTGCAGTGCCTTCACTGCCTCTTTGTTCACCTGGAACATCTTTCTCATTCTTACTTTGAAGAGGAACATTCTAACAAGAATAATATTCTCTGTGGCTCATCCAGGAGTTCATCTCAAACTTGTTTCCCTCTTCTTGTCCTCTCATGTCCAACATTCTCTCCTTCTTGTCCTCTCATGTCCGACATTCTCTCCTTATCCTCTCATGTCCGACATTCTCTCCTTCTTATCCTCTCATGTCCAACATTCTCTCCTTCTTGTCCTCTCATGTCCGACATTCTCTCCTTCTTGTCCTCTCATGTCCGACATTCTCTCCTTCTTGTCCTCTCATGTCCGACATTCTCTCCTTCTTATCCTCTCATGTCCGACATTCTCTCCTTCTTGTCCTCTCATGTCCAACATTCTCTTCTTGTCCTCTCATATCCAACATTCTTCTTGCTCTCATATCATGTCCAACATCATCTCAGTGTCACCTCTGTTCACCTGCTCTTATTGTTTCACAGTAAAACAGAGCAAAAACAAAAAACATACGTTAAAAGCTTCCAGATCTTGTTTTAATAATATAATTTTAAAGAGGATAAATATAAAGGTTTCAATGTTACATTGTCACTGGAAATTTATTTGACATGACTTTTATTAACGTTTAAAAGGTTGATTAAGTATTTGTTCATTTATCACCTGTAAAATAAAGGTTAAAAATTTCAATTCTCTCGACGTTTTAACTTTGTTATTAAAGATATATTTTTAAATTTTAATTTACAGTTAACTGAAGGAGAAATTTTTCATGAAAAATACCATAAACACATGAAAACTTGTGACATTAATCTTACATGTGTTTAATAAGGTCAGTTTATTAACAATAATTTTATCTACAGGAAATTCAAGGCAGTGATGAAGACTCAAGGATTACCATTAAGGTCGAGGGAACAGTTAATAATGAAGGAATTTCATCTTTATCTTCTACTTCTTCTTCTCAAAATACTTCACAAAACTCAGCTTCCGGCAGCAACAATGAGTTACGTGTCAACAAACAAGAGTCAAGTGATTGTCTTCAGGAACAACAAGAACAACACTGTATTTCTAAACAAGACAAACTACGAAAGATTCCTATTAAAATTAACTCAACTCTGGTCAAAAGTCAGTGTAATTCACAGACTAATGACATTAATGGTTCCTCTGGTGACTCACATCAATTAAACGTTGAATTAAAACAAAACTCGTCACGTAAAGCCACACAGTTTACGTCACAGCAAAATGACGTAAGTCACACTGACACTAAGAAGGCAACAACGGAAAAGCTTAATGAAAACACTAATTCAAGTGTCACTTGTAACAGCCAGCACAACACTGAGACTCAGAACACGTCCTTGACAGGTGACACTCAACAATCATCATCAACAACACGAGATGTCCGTAATATTCACATCTCTCACAACAATCTTCTACCAATAACTAAAAGAGGACTCTTCTTCAGTGACTCCTTCTTTGAAGATGCTCGTAAAGACTTCGAGAAGTCTGTTAATGATATCCTGACAAGATGGGGCAAAGAAGAGGTTGTCAGTGAGACGTGTGAAGACTCGAGCCTCCGTCTGAACAACAGTTTAAGACGATACAGACAACTTAGAGGTCACGACCTGAGAGATGAGAACCAGGCCATCACGGTCACCACTAACAACACCGCTCACAAGGTCAGTTCCTCTCAGTGAATAATAACGTAAAAAATTCATTATATTACAGTAAACTTAAGCAGAATTTCACAATAATTAGATAATTGTATTTATCTATATTTTTTCCAAAATTTTTAGTTATGGGTGGAAGAAATTTAAAAAAAAATATAGATCACTGGAAGCAGAAAGATGGATATTAAACTTCGAACTGACGTTATATACTAAATAAAAACATTAAATTGTTAATAATAAGAATTATCCTTTAAACGATAAATTATATTAATTTTTGTTCATTTTCTTTTGAAAGATGTTGTATATAATATATTAATTAAAATACAAGGTCACTGCAGCTCCACTACCGGTGGAAAGACACAGAAAATTGACCAAGAGTTTCACTGTCTGTCAACAAATAACTGAGACGTCAGAATACATTTTCCCAGTTTTGTTGACAAAGAAAACAGTTCCACCACCTTAGCACTGTTGTAAATAAACTAGAAATTGTAAATTATTTACTAAATTGTCGTTCATTAAATATGCTGAAGGAAACTTAGTTCTTTTGTTACAAGTTCAATGTTCACTGCAGATCGTGCTGGATGTTCATGACTTCATGGCTGGTGAGGTGAAGGTGAAGGTGGTGGGAGGGAGACAGGTGCTTGTTGAAGGTCACCTCAACACAAACAATGGAGACTTCGCCTCCTCCTCCTCCCACACCTTCAGGAGGACTTTTACCCTGCCAGAGAACACCAACACTGAGAATATCACCTCCGTCATGTCCTCTGATGGTATACTGACCATCACTGCTCCAAAAATTGTAAGTTTTTAATATACATTTGAATTTAATGTTTAATGCAATAAGGTGATAAACTTTCGACTTCTTTCCCGTTCAATAAACCTGATTTTTACGTTAAAACATTTATTTAACAGGTAAAACAATTGAAGGGCAACGAGGTGATAATTCCCGTTACACTTGAGGAAGATTATAAAACAAATGAAGAAACTAAGTTGACATCCACTTCAGTATCTCAGGTTGCTGCTGCAACCAACTCTTCCTCAGTACCCAGCTCTTCCTCAGCACCCAACTCTTCCTCAGCACCCAGCTCTTCCTCAGCACCCAGCACTTCCTCAGTACCCAGCTCTTCCTCAGCACCCAGCACTTCCTCAGCACCCAGCACTTCCTCAGCTCCCAATTCAAAACAGTTGGAAGACGAACAGAAGTGTGAATGTGAAAGATGTCAGAAAATTGAACTAACTAGAACTGAACAAACTCAACATCAAAGAGAAACTCAGGATGATGTTAGAACTAATAAGAGTGTCTTGTCCAGCGAGAAAACATCACAAGTAAATGTTTCTCAACAATCACGGGAAGAAATTCCTACAAAAACTCCAAAGAAACTCATTTCCAGCACCACACAAACAGACACTAAGGTTAGTGATGCTGCAGGTACTCTTGGCCTTCAAGAAGAAACAGTGGGAAGGAAGTTGTCAAAAACTTCAAGAAAAGACGAACTTCTTTCTCACTCTCAACATTGTGAGGAGAAAGAGTCTTGTGCAGAAGTCAGTGACATCCACTTGCCCAGGTGTACAAGTCTTCCCATATCAACAAGAGGTCTCTTCTTCAGCGATTCCTTCTTCCAAGATGCTTGGAATGATTTTAACGCTGCTGTTAAGGAAGTGATGTGTAGATGGGGTGAAGAATCATCTGTCAACGACCTCTTAACCCACTACAGAAACTTACGATCTCGTGACCTGAGAGATGAGACTCAGGCAGTGAAGTGTTCTGAAGATAATCTCAACTATAAGGTGAGCTGAGGTTACCAGTACAATGTTAATGAGAAGTAAAATAAACAACTCAGTAAATCACTTACAAAATTCAGGTTATTATCTAATATTTGCATATTGCAGTTTGTTGTGGACGTGCAAGACTTCACAGACGGAGGTAAGATCAGTGTCAAGGCGGTGAATGAGAGAGAATTGGTGGTGGAGGGTCGTGTGGAGAAGAAAAACGGAGGATCAAGTTTCACAAAGCGATTCCTTCGTCATTTCGTTCTACCGGAAAATATTAAACTTGAATCAGTGTCATCAGTTATGTCTTCAGACGGTGTCTTAACTATCATGGCGCCCAAGAAGGTAACAAGAAATTATATTCTCTTATAAATTTTTAGTTAAATTGGAAGTAGAATCTTAACATTTCTGTATGAAATAATTGTTTAATATTCTCTATTAACAAAGCCATTGTGACTGATAATTATTTGTATTTTGTTCAGGCTAAAACATTAGAGATCAAGGAAGTTGTTGTTCCCATGAGCGTTGAGGAAGGAATCAAGAAGTCTGAGAGCTTGAAGCAGTCAAGTGTAGAAGCTTCCTTGTGCTCATCAGATGCTTCTGAGGGTTCATCAGCTGTCTCTGAGGCTTCATCAGCTGTCTCTGAGGCTTCATCAGCTGTCTCTGAGGGTTCATCAGCTGTCTCTGAGGCTTCTACAGTCAAGAAATCTTCTGTGTTCGGTTCATCAGTTTTATCAGATTCGGTAATTATTATTCTGTATATGTAAATATGATAATGAATATCTCTCTCTCATTTAGTGAATTTTTAATAGGATATTTTCATGCAAATTAGTATTTTCATTACATTAAAATACTCTTGTGTTGCCACAGGTGACAGAGACTCAAGAACACATCATTCCTGTAACACTTGTGGAACAACAACAATGTCAGACTCAAACATCTGATGAGAAATCCTTCACAAAAGAGAACCAAATGTCTCATTGTGATCAACTGAAAAGTTTTACTTCTTTGAGGAACAAAATGACCGCTAATGAAGATGTTTCTTCTAAGCGAACAACCGAGGCGAGGAAATGTTCCTCTGATAATAAAAGTGATGTTACTTTTAACATCGAGGAAGTTAACGCTGATACTAACATCAACAACCAAGATTATCATTCTAAGACAAATACAGTTGTTGATAATGAGGTTGATAAGACTAAGTCTATTGTCAACCGTCATTATCAAGGTCACTGTGAGAACTCTCGTAGTGTTAATCTTAATAGAATTTTGCCAGTAAGTTTGAAGGGAACATTTTTCAATGACTCTTTCTTTGAGGACTCCAGAGAAAGTTTTGTGACTGCAGTTAAGAATGTACTGAAGAAGACTCGTGAAGGATCCTACCTGTGTGATGACATAACATCCTACAGGAACCTCAGACAACGTGACTTAAGATCAGAGAACCAAGCCGTCCATGTTGAGGAGGACATTACCTCTATGAAGGTAAATATTCATTGTAATATGGACCAATCTGGTCTATTATTTTCTAATTTTTTTCTGTTACTATAAATTTGTGAATTTATCTAAACACAAAAGTTTAACAAATATTAAACATTTATATAACAGAATCCATATAGAGGCAATAAAATAGAAGATAAATACTGTAAGTTTCGAACCAACACTGATATCATCTTCAGCAAAATTAAGAGTATTAACCTACAGATAAATTTCTGAGTGTTGAGCACAAATATACAATTATAATCTTATATTTCTTTTCTTTGTGAGTTCATTTGTTTTATTCATAAATTACCGATGTTATCCTTGATAATTTTCTTCACAGATTGTAGTGGACGTCCAAGACTTTATTGGAGGTGATATTAAAGTGGAAGTTGTTGAAGATAAAGAACTTGTGGTTGAGGGAAGAACCAAGAGTGAAGATGGAGCCTCAGCCACTTCCTCGAGCTTCCTTCTTCGCTTCTCCTTACCTCAGCACGCTGACCTGGAGACAATATCCTCAGCCATGTCCTCAGATGGTGTCCTCACAATCATTACCCCCAAGTTGCAACAGACTGTTGGTGCTGGTACAACAAACAACAAGGAAATGTTTGTTGAACGTCAGTCAAGACTTGACCACCAGAGTGATGGAGAACAATCATGGGAGGAGAAGAAGGTTCAACACTCAGCTAAAGAGTCTGAGGGTTGTAGCTCCCGGTCCTTCAGTTCCGCCTATCGTTCCCAACATCAATATTCATCCAACAGAAATTTTAAACATTAAAAATTCCTCTAATATTTTCTTAAACTTAGTAATGCTAAAGAATAAATTTTTAACTTATTATATCTCTATTAATTTGTTAGTTATCAAAGATAATATAATAATGTAACTGATCACATCATCTTAGGTAATTATATAATGTAAAACTGTGAGAAAAGTAACTAGACTGGGACTTCAGACATCATCAGTGAGCGAGGAACATCACTGTACATGACAGTAACTCAACAGGTAAGACAACCCAAGTTATTATAACAAATTACGTAATTTACATAATGAAAAACAAACCTGAAAATAACAGAGACAATACAATAGAAACACTGACCTAAGGGCTATTTTGCATTTGCAAAATTAATGACACTATAATCACGGAGTTATTATATTTGCCTTTTTTTCCCTCCGACAGATGTCACCAACTTCACCTTCCCACCTGTGAGCTCACCTGGTGATGTCACCTACACATTCCCTCATTAGAAATTTGTTTTTATTTTTCTCGGAATTTTGGTGAAATAAGGATGAACTCAAACTCAAATTTCGTTATAGATAATTTATTCATAAATGATAGATTTTGTGTCAGTTATAATCTATAGAATATATAGATTTCTATATATATATATTAAGAGATATTTTTATTTTTATGTATAATATAAAAAAAATCACTGAAGTCGTGTTTTTTTAACAAATTATTCAATGTTTATAACCTTTTACATATATATATTTTTTACGTAAAATTTTTAAGATGGATTTTTTAATAAAAATGAGAACAACATAACGATTTGTTTGTGCTAATCCTCATTATGTTCTCTGAAACTGTGTGGGAAAAAGTCCGTAATAAGTGGTGGTTCAGTCTCGCAGGAACCATAGCGTGTTACTAGCCGCACTACCATCTAGCGGGCTGAGGCTAAACTAAAGCTCCTCTGGTCTAATTTGCATTAATTTCTACTCCTGGTAGTAGCTGTTCTTGCTACTGATTCACCTGGTTACCTTTTATGTAACCAGTGTTGTTTTCTTTATTATCAGCTCTGCTGCTGGCCTGGTCAATCAGGGTAGACGCTAGGTAATTGGAACAAGATCCCTATCTACAGGACGTAGTTGGACATTACGACTCCTCACCTCTGGAACCTGAACTGTGGTGCTACTACTAAGTAGTGACAGGAATTCCAGAACATCGGACGAACACCACCACCCCCTTTTTCTTCAGCATCAGAAGACCATCCTGGGCCTAAAATACTCGTGTCCCAACACCATACTGGAACCACAGCTGCCAATTTTTATTTTTTTTAATTAAAATCCATGGAAAATTAGATTTGTTGTTCCTCAAATCCACTTATTTCTCCATTCTTTTGTTCAGGCGGAAGGGGTTCCCCTGACAGAAATCTTCTTTGGAACCTGCTCTGAAACCTTGGAACTTTGAAACATACTTAGAATTTTGCTCTGGAACCTACTTTAAAATCCTATTTTGAAACTCGCTTTGGAACCTACTCTGAAATTCACTTTAGAACCTACTCTGAAATTCACTTTGGAACCTACTCTGAAACTCACTTTGGAAGCTACTCTGAAACTAGCTTTTGAAGCTACTCTGAAACTCGCTTGGAACATACTCTGAAACTCGCTTTGGAACCGACTCTGAAACTCGCTTTGGAACCTACTCTGAAACTCACTTTGGTACCTACTCTGAAACTCACTTTGGAACCTACTCTGAAACTCACTTTGGTACCTACTCTGAAACTCACTTTGGAACCTACTCCGAAACTCACTTTGGTACCTACTCTGAAACTCACTTTGAAATCTACTCTGAAACTCACTTTGGAACCTACTCTGAAACTCACTTTGGTACCTACTCTGAAACTCACTTTGGAATCTACTCTGAAACTCACTTTGGAACCTACTCTGAAACTCACTTTGGAACCTACTCTGAAACTCGCTTTGGAACCTACTCTGAAACTCACTTTGGTACCTACTCTGAAACTCACTTTGGAACCTACTCTGAAACTCACTTTGGAATCTACTCTGAAACTCACTTTGGTACCTACTCTGAAACTCACTTTGGAATCTACTCTGAAACTCACTTTGGAACCTACTCTGAAACTCACTTTGGAACCTACTCTGAAACTCACTTTGGAACCTACTCGGAAACTCACTTTGGTACCTACTCTGAAACTCACTTTGGAACCTACTCTGAAACTCGCTTTGGAACCTACTCTGAAACTAACTTTGGAACCTACTCTGAAACTCACTTTAGAACCTACTCTGAAACTCACTTTGGAACCTACTCTGAAACTCACTTTGGAACCTACTCTGAAACTCGCTTTGGAACCTACTCTAAAACTCACTTTGGAACCTACTCTGAAACTCACTTTAGAACCTACTCTGAAACTCACTTTGGTACCTACTCTGAAACTCACTTTGGAACCTACTCTGAAACTCACTTTGGTACCTACTCTGAAACTCACTTTAGAACCTACTCTGAAACTCACTTTGGAACCTACTCTGAAACTCACTTTAGAACCTACTCTGAAACTCACTTTGGTACCTACTCTGAAACTCACTTTGGAACCTACTCTGAAACTCACTTTGGTACCTACTCTGAAACTCACTTTAGAACCTACTCTGAAACTCACTTTGAAACCTACTCGGAAACTCACTTTGGTACCTACTCTGAAACTCACTTTGGAACCTACTCTGAAACTCGCTTTGGAACCTACTCTGAAACTCACTTTGGAACCTACTCTGAAACTCACTTTGGAACCTACTCTGAAACTCACTTTGGAACCTACTCTGAAACTCACTTTGGAACCTACTCTGAAACTCGCTTTGGAACCTACTCTGAAACTCACTTTGGAACCTACTCTGAAACTCACTTTAGAACCTACTCTGAAACTCACTTTAGAACCTACTCTGAAACTCACTTTGGTACCTACTCTGAAACTCACTTTGGAACCTACTCTGAAACTCACTTTAGAACCTACTCTGAAACTCACTTTGGTACCTACTCTGAAACTCACTTTAGAACCTACTCTGAAACTCACTTTGGAACCTACTCTGAAATTCACTTTAGAACCTACTCTGAAACTCACTTTGGTACCTACTCTGAAACTCACTTTGGGACCTACTCTGAAACTCACTTTAGAACCTACTCTGAAACTCACTTTAGAACCTACTCTGAGAATCGCTTTGGAACCTACTCTGAAACTCGCTTTGGAACCTACTCTGAAACTCACTTTGGAACCTACTCTGAAACTCACTTTGGAACCTACTCTGAAACTCACTTTGGAACCTACTCTGAAACTCACTTTGGAACCTACTCTGAAACTCACTTTAGAACCTTCTCTGAAATTCACTTTGGAACCTTCTCTGAAACTCACTTTGGAACCTACTCTGAAACTCACTTTGGAACCTACTCTGGAACCTACTTAGAAACCTCCTTTTGAAACTATAAAACTTAGAAAGTTACTGAAGCGGTGTTAGTCACCATGCAACTTTGCAATGTTGATGTGTTTTAGTACCGTGAAGTGTTACCTGGAGTATACCTGGAGAGGGTTTCGGGGGGTCAACGCCCCCGCGGCTCGGTCTGAGACCAGGTCTCGTGGTGGATCAGGGTCTGATCAACCAGGCTGCTACTGCTGGACGCACGCAAGCTGACACACGAACCGCAGCCCGGCTATATTGCTGTGTCGTACAACATGCAGTATTCTTTATCACTGTTGGTGTACAGTACAGCACTGTTCTGTCTTGACCATGTTTACTCACAACCAGTCTGACTAGCAGGAAAAATGACTGTTTTCTGGGTCATTTTTACAGGTCAAGAGCTGTTATCTAACCTCAGCTAATTTAAAGCCTTATTTAAGGTATACTACCCCCACCCAGGATGCGACCCACAACAGTTGACTAACATCTAGGTGCCTACTTACTGCTAATTGAGCAGTGGCAGCAGGTGTAAGAAAACATGGCCAATATTTCCACTCGGCCGGGAATCGAACCACAAACACTCGGTATTTATGCGGAGTGTCCTAACCAACCGTCACACAAGCAGTCTGTGTATGTATATACACAGCCTTGTGTGATGGCTGGGAATGTTTCAGAGCCCAGATTAACATCTCAAGGTCAGTGGAAGCCTGGTGGAGTACTAACCCCTTGCCCGCAAGATTCCTCTTCTTCCTGTATCTAATTGAATTCATCCACCTATTCTTATTCCTCCACCTGACGTACATCATGTAACATAGGCCTGGTAGTATTTGTGTGCATACATATATTTTGTTTGTCAACGCACCGGCCGTATCCAACAGAGGCAGGGTGACCTGAAAAGAAAAACGAAAGTTTTTCTGATATCTGTTATCACAAATAAAAACGAAAGACTCGTTTTTAGTTTAGTAATGTATACAGGAAGGGGTTACTAGCCCATTGCTCGCGGCATTTTAGTCGCCTCTTACGACACGCATGGCTTACGGAGGAAAGATTCTTTTCCACTTTCCCATGGAGATGAAAGGAAGCATCAATAAGAACAAGAGCTATTAAGAAAATAGAAGAATACTCTGATGGGTGTGTACACATACATGTGTTCATGAATGTGTAGTGTGACCTCAGTGTAAGTAGAAGTAGCAAGACATACCTGCTATCTTGCATGTTCATGAGACAGAAAGAAGAGATACCAGCAATTCTACCTTCATGTAAAAAAAATGCATATAAAAACACAACTCATTCAACAACGTAGGAAAAGTATAAAAATGCCTCCTTGAAAATTCCTATCGCATTTCATAATGCAAGTTATTCGTAAAATGAGAAATATTGCAGTGTAAGCCACGTCATGAAAAAAGCTGTTTCTGAGCATGGTGACGATGTTGCATCGTCGCTGGCACCGTCCACCGTGCTAAAGATAGAGGAGTGACGCTCTTGCCACGTAACAAGGGTAGGTGGGAGTGTGTTTGTATATAGCCGGGAAGCAGAGACACCTGTCAGTACCACACCCACTGCTAACACGGGTACTCCATTCTGCACTTCCACGAGAGGTTCTTAGCGCATCGCAGCTGAGCGGCACAATGGCTATCGTTCACAATGACATTGTTCATTCTCTAAGGGCTTTCAGTTCGTTCAAAGTGGACGACTTTATAGATAGATGTGAAGAGGACTTGTTCAGGTTTCGATTGCCCCTTCTTCGTGAGGGTCTTTTCTCACACGATTCCTTCTTCGCGTATGTCCGTCAGATCATTGACGACGCGCTCAGGGAAATGCTTATGGCGTGGGACGACTTTGAGCATCTACGTAAAAAGCATCGTGATGCAACCTTCCGTCTATCAAGCAGCATCCTTCGCTACACACAGCTGCGATCACTAGGTAGAAAGCAAGACAGTTATGGCGCTAGCACCGAAGACGTTGAGAGAGAGGTGAGTCTCGGAAAAATGTAACAGCTTAAGAAACAAGTGTCTAATTTATCAACGTGTCGGTTCTCTGAACCATTCATCTACACACTGTAGTGTAGCCAGGACGTTGTCTACCACAATCACCTGAAGTGACAACAAATCAGTGAACCAACTCCACAACACAACTACACAACTAGCATGACTCAAGAAATCGTAATGACACGATTGCGACGGGCTGGAGTTTTGAGACTCTATGACCGCGGGTTCAATCCCGGCCGGGGGTATGGTTTACACAACTAGCAAACTGCACTTATCCTGGAGAAGATGAAAAAGTGTAGCGGCTATTGCCTATGATATCTAATTCCTTTCCTGAAAACTGCAAAAGCTATTTTTTTTGGTTGCAAGAGGTTGACTATCGCAGTTAACAGACTAGACATAGATTGTTCCTGTTAATGAACTACAATCTCAAGTTACTATATGGGGGTGATACTACAAGTATTCTGGACCGGTGAATTGCAGACTTAACGACCTCTCGTATGTTGAAAATGGAATAAAATACTATCAGGTTGTTGAAACGTTTCGCCTACACAGTAGGTTTCTTCAGTCATATAGAGCAGCAGGTGTAGTAGTGAAATGAAGATGTAATCAGTCCATCAACCTTGGAGAAAAAGTATTTGAGGTGGTCAGTCCCTCAGCCTGTAGAAGAGTTCAGCTCCATGTCTGGAACGATATGAAGTGACTGAAGAAGCCTACTATGTAGGCGAAACGTTTCAACAATAAAGACACCCAACTATTGTACATGTATCTTAAACTAACCAATAACGCAACAAATTTTAAGGCTTGTACAATGTTACACAAAACACACTGACAGCATAGCTGACAGCTCTTGCTATAAAGCTTATGTGAATTGTGGCTTAACTGTGAACCTCTAACCATTTTAAATTAGAATTATTCCTGGTTTAGAAACATTTATTAACTAAGAGTTAATCTTTTTGTATTCTCATCCATATTTTTGAGAGCTTTGTGTATTTGCAGCCAAAAGTTCATAGGTGAAGAAATTTTTAAGATTTTTGAAGTATGTAATGATCTAAAATACCCAAAATACTTAATTGATGAGTATTTTAAAATTACTTAGCTCAAAAGAAGTTAATAAACTACTTTTTACAGTTTATTTTAGACGAATGTGACTTCACAAACGATGAACGGATCTCCGATGTGCTCAGTGAGAGAGATCTGTTCCTTGATGACACAGATCTGTTCTCTGAGAAAAATGATAAACACAGCACGGAACTCTTTAAGAGACTCCTGCGTCATGTACTTCTCCGAGGAGTTGCTCAGGTGAAGTCAGGAGATGCTGAGATGAAATCAGATGCTGAGATGTTGTCAGCTGTGACGTCCCCAGACGGCGTCTTGACTGTTACGTCCCTCAAGAAGGTATACTTCCTTCATTTCTAGCAAATAATTTCTCTGCTTCACTTCTATATCATTTAAAAATCATTTAATACTCTATATTAATATTTGCACTACCTAACACCGTCATACCAATCTCCTATCTATTAATTTGAGAGCCGTTCATTTCGCCTTTTTGTCCTTTATCAAATTAAGACTGAGTCCACAGTAACCCTTATTATTTTTTAATAGATGCCAAAACTTCAGCTGCAGCAGATGGGTTCAACCGGAAACTACATGATAGACGAAACAACTGAAAGGCAAAAGAAGGAATTAGAGACGGTGAGAGAAGCACGGGATCCCTCTCCCTCGCCGAGTGTAGCATCGGCAGACTCCTGTGACTCCCTTATAGGCAGACTGTGGACCTTCACCTCCCCTGATGATCTGTCTACCTCATACCGGCTAAACTCATCGTCTGAATCAAGTGAGGATCTCCAAGAGCCATCTGGGGAACGATAGCGTACGTTTTCCCCTTTTATACATATATATATATATATATAATATATATATATATATATATATATATATATATATATATATATATATATATATATATATAATATTAATATTATATATATATATATATATATTATATATATATATATATATATATATATATATATATATATATATATATATATATATATATAATTATATCGAAGCCACTATGCTATCTTGTAAATCACATACTATAATGTAAAGCTACTGCGCCATGATGTAAAACCATTTGGTATTTTGTAAAGCCACTATGCTATGTTGAAAAGCCATTACTGCCATAATAAAGCACTTTTAAACGTTAACATCAACTGGTTTTATCACAATATAAACCGTATGTGTTTTAAAGTCACCAGGAGTTGGTGATCCTTCCTCAGTTAATTTACAAGCTAAGAGCTGTTATCTTACTTCAGTTTATTGAGAGGTTAAGAGTTGTTATCCTACGTTACTTCATTTATAGGCTACTCATTATATCGCAACTCAGTTTACTTATAACAGTTGTCTAAGGGTTTGTTAACAACTTACCTGTTGATGTGTTCTGGTCATCACCTGGCCCCCGGTCCCAGACCAGGTCAGCTGGTCAGGTACTTACCTGAGGGACTCTGTTAGCAATTCTCCCCTTGTTTATAAGGGAAGACATTGAAGAGTCTTGGTCCCTGCACACTTTTTCTGAGTTGTCTTTCGGCGTACTTGCTGGAACTCTTAATCCAAGGAACTGGATGTGTCCTCCCCTTCCTTGAATCGAACGTGATTTCCTGTCATTCCTCAGGTGTTGTGTGACTCCAACGGGCTTACTTCTTCCCCTTAAATTTAATAATAATGTGCCCGTTCCACCACTGCTTTACATTTGGGTCATTTTCCATTGTCTACGGAGCCTCCAGTTCTGGGAGGGAGTAATGTCAGTGTGTAGATTTGGGATCAATCATTCTATTTTTTTAAGACATGAATTATCGACTCTTTCTGGCTCTTGACGTTCTCAATAATTTTCGGATTTTACTAAATTTATACAGACAGTGAGTGTTGTGTATACTTACATATCCGTAGTTTTTCTTGCCTTGAAAAGTTCAACTAACGCTCAGTTAAGTTGAGTCTGGTGAGATATTTGCCTTAGAGTGTCATCAGTAGTTTGGTATCTGTTCTTCAAGGTCTGTGTATACAACCTAGCGTTAGGTTAGGTAAAGTTTGCAAGGAAACAAGTGTTTCCTGACGAGGGTATTTGTTGTATAATGATCCGCAGCTAGAGCTTTTGGTCATCTGGCAGAGGCCTTCCACTGGCTTACCCCTCCACCCCTTAAAAAATTATGGTTATTATAAACATTAGATGTTGCTCTTGACAGGTGAGATTGTAAGACTGTTTTCTTAAACGTAAGATCTAACAACGTAACTTGCTACTGGGTGAACAAGGAAGCAGCTGTAATGAGACTAGCTCGTGCGTCTCTGCCTAGGAATCTAGCCTGGATCCCTCCAGTTGTGAGCCAATTAGTTTCTCGTGGAACGCAGGACTCACATTAGATTTGCATGTGTTCCACATGGAGGATACGTTCATAATATAACGTTTAGATGCAGGATTCAAGGGTACTGAAAAACGTTTGTTTGTAAAGAATAGTTTTATTGGTCTGTTGTGGGGAGTGTGAGGGGGAGTGAGTGTGTTGGGGAGTGTGGAGTCCTTCCTTGGGCTCTGTAGGGGACATCTGACTCCCCACCACCACCACCACCACCACTACCACCACCACCACCACCACCACAATCACTACCACCACCACAATCACTACCAGTTTTGCCACTACAACTAACGCAGTATCATGCCTCGGGTGGTAGATGAAAGTTACTATAGTGTACCCAAAGCAAAATTAAAAAAAACGGGAAGGCACAAACAAAGAGAATGGTTAAATAACTAAAGGATTATGATAAGAGCAGAGATTGTGCAAGATTAATAATCCAGGCCCTTAAATAATAAGATAAGGTATAGTGGAAGCAAATAACACACACACACACACACACACCACACACACACACACACCCACCACACACACACACACACACACCACACACACACACAATCAACACAACAACATATATATATATATATATATATATATATATATATATATATATATTTGTCTGTGTTCAGTCCATCAATCAAGATTGATGAACTGAACACATCGACTCCAGGCTGAGGGACTGATTACCTCAAACTCTTTCTCATCTTCCATTGTTCTTCTCTGTATTATACTGAAGTCACTGGATAGCGAAAAGTTTCCTCACTAAAGATTTCCAAATGTCAGACAAGTGTCTCATTCTTCATCTTGTCAAGTTTTCTGAGCCACTTACATCACACTAAGATCGCAACAATGCTACCAACAGTCTGGTTATCATAGACTCTTACGTTATTATAAGATTAATGTTGTTGTTCAGTCTCGAAGTGAGGATCACCAAGACGAGTGATAACTGCCACATTAACCCAGACTGCAGCACCTCCACCACTGTTGCTTCTCTCTCGTCGAGTTCCTTCACTGACACACACTGACACTCGTTTCCACGGTAATTATAAACGACTGTATACATGATTCTTAGTGTATTTTCCTTGCTGATTATTAGTAGCATAATAACACAGTTTTTTAAGAATAAAAGAAAAAATCTCCGTGCTGTGGGTGTCGTATTTCAGATCAAAAGTTTGGGTTTGTTGTAAATTACATTGCTGCGGTTTAAATCTATATTCTGTGGTACATTAATAGATGAGACAGACTAATTGTTATATATAAGAAAAGCTGGGACTTCATGTATGAAAGGTTTTACTCAATCCACAATTGTGTCAACAAAGAGACTAAGTTGGATTCATTACGAATGTTGTCTTGTCACAGTCAAGTTTTGGGAGGGACATACCATTATCTTTTACCTTCGCTCATAAAATATTACTCTAACATAAAATAAAGAAATAAGTTAACCCAGTATATACAATGAGAAGCAAATATTGTTTCGTGGTTCTATGGAGAGATGAACACTCTTTGATTCTATAGGAAGAAAAGGAATCAAACACTGTTTTATACAGCATCATTTCTGAGACACTTGTTCAGACGTGAGTAACACAAGTATTGTTCGCGTTGCGGCCTGAATCTACTGAGGGTACGGCTTTCCAGCTGGGAGTATACCTGGAAGCTGGGAGTGTCAGTACAGACATGCAACAAGACTTAAACAGGTTTCTGAAGGTTTCCCTGAACTGCTGGCTCATGGAACAGTACAAGAGGAAGTTGATGGCACTGTTGAAGAGCACCAGCATATCCATAATCTCTCCGAGCTTCTGATAACACGGGAAAAATCCAGAGTCCGGAATAACGGTGAGAAGGCCAAGGATGCCTTGTGGAACTTCGGAAGCAAGAAACAGAACAAGAATGGCTAATAACATCTTAGTGACGCGATCGGCTTGTCGGCCGGCATCTGTTCCTCGACCCGATGAATTCCTTTTCATGAGCTGGGTGCGCCGCCTCGCAGCACGTAATAGCTCCTGAATGAGAGCATAAGAGAGGCCAGTAAGAGCCCCACATGGAAGCAGCTTAAGTAAGACGGCATAGATCCAAAAGTTTATGCTCTTCATTAAGCCTCCGTGAGCCTGTGCTAGGTCGCTGAAACCCACAATATACAGCGTTTGCCCTTTGTGTTCCATCTTGCTAATGGTGAAGTTGAGGTAGTTGGGAATGTTGCAGATTAGCGAGCAGAAGAAGGCTGCTACAATAACCGTGAGAGTTCGACTCATGGAGCACCAGGTAGTGTTGTTCTGAGGGAAGGCGATGGCTATGTATCGCCAGACGGCCAGAGTGACGGTCAGCCAGATAGAGATGGTGTGGAAAACTTGAGCGAAGTGCGCGTGGAACAGCACGAAGACGGCCCATCCCCATGAGTACTGCGAGGCCAGAGATCGCCCCTGCCACACGTATGGTGCATGGTATAAGGGATGTACTCAACCATCACCAGGAGGTCTGTCAGCGCCAAGCCTGTGAGGACAGCATTGGTGGGAGATAGCATAGAGCGTCTTGTGAGGACAATCATGTTGATAACGTTGGCAACGGAGCCGAAGACACACACCACCAGTGACATGCATCCGTGAAGTGCTTGGTAACTGTGGCGGAAGCTGTCCCAGCCCTCCGTGCTACAGTAACTATCCTGTAAGAAGAGACGGTATTATAGTAAATGTTATTAGTGAGAACTATTTACCAAATGTGTGTATTCACCTAATTGTGGTTGTAGGGGTCGATTCACAGCTCTTGGGCCTGTGCGTGTGTGTGTGTGTGTGTGTGTGTGTGTGTGTGTGCAGAATTTGTAGGGATTCCCGTAAAATTCACTCTGTCTCAAATCAGGTGAAGTTAGTACATATCATCAGAACAAGACATCTTACAGTGACGTCAGTCATCGGCGCTGCAGTCAGCTGAAATCAACAATGACATCCTTGCCTTTTCCTGAAGACCCTTTAATCACTGGAAAGCATGTGGCCAATGCTTGCACCATTATTAACTAAGAGGACATGAATACATCGTACGGACTCTAAAACAAGAGTGAGGCATTAGTAAATTATGCACGAACATAAAGTATGCAATCCGATCAGTGAATGTGACCAACAAGGCCTCGGTCGCTCCTCACTGACTCGCCATAGCGGAAGCTTCTGTTATATTCCATAGCTGAGTAAGCAGACACTGCAGTCTACATTACAGCATGTCAGGGGCTGTGTCTTGCACTGCCTCGTGTATAGTACAGCATGTCAGGGGCTGGACTGCACTGCTCGTGTTAGTACAGCATGTCGGGCTGTGTCTTGCACTCCCTCGTGTATAGTACAGCATGTCAGGGGCTGTTGTCTTGCACTGCCTCGTGTATAGTACAGCATGTCAGGGGCTGTGTCTTGCACTCCCTCGTGTATAGTACAGCATGTCAGGGGCTGTGTCTTGCACTGCCTCGTGTATAGTACAGCATGTCAGGGGCTGTGTCTTGCACTGCCTCGTGTATAGTACAGCACGTCAGGGGCTGTCTTGCCCTGCCACTGGTATAGTACAGCACGTCAGGGGCTGTCTTGCCCTGCCTCGGGTATAGTACAGCTCGTCAGGGGCTGTATTGCCCTGCCTCGGCCACAGGATCAAAAATAAACAATAGCACCTCATGTGACAAAAATCATTATGCAAAACAACCCAGCCTCAATTTCCAACAGTGTCAGTTTCCATGATTGATTGGAATAATAGGTCGGTTAACGGAATTTAAAGCCCATCACCTACACGAGGGTCATTAAGGCCTCATGTCACCTGTTCACCACCAGTCGAGAACAAGATAGAGATTAGTGTATATATTTATGCCGAGGGCTATACACCTCTCGGTGTACATGTGTGTTCTCCAAGACACTCAGTTTCTGGTTGCTACAGAGAACAGAAAGCAAATCCGTGTCATGGGGGGCAGGGGGCAGGGGGCAAGGGTGGGGGGGGGGAAGTAATCGAGTCCTTCCTGCTTGGATGACTTGACTGTCTCGTATTTAATAATGTGCTCTGATCCTATGTGGAGATCATTCTGGCATCACAGGCGATACTGGTGAATCGTTTTGACTCTACCAGTGATAATGGCGTATCATTCTGGCACTACCAGTGATATTAGTGTATTATTCTGGCACTACCAGTGATTATGGTGTATCATTCTGGCACTACCAGTGATAAAAGTGAATCGTTCTGGCACTACCAGTGATAATGGTGTATCATTCTGGCACTACTAGTGATAAAAGTGAATCGTTCTGGCACTACCAGTGTTAATGGTGTATCATTCTGGCACTACCAGTGATAAAAGTGAATCGTTCTGGCACTACCAGTGATATTGGTGTATCATTCTGGCACTACCAGTAATAAGAGTGAATCATTCTGGCATTATAAATGATAATGGTGTATCATTATAACATTGCTAGTGGCATAGTGTCACTAGTGCATCATTTTGGCATCACTAATAGTGAACATTCATAGAATTCATAAAAAAGTGTAAGAACCCAAGTAGAAATAAGTCACATTGTTGACCTTACCATGTTGACCTAACTATAATTTTCTCAATGTATTTTTTACGTGTTCATAACACGTGTGTGCATTCAAGATCTATGTAAAAAAAAAAAAGAATTGATTGCAAACCTAAACACGAAGCTGCAGGTGAAAACAATACCATGAAAAAATCTTCATCATTCTGAGGATATGTGTACTCGCCTACTTGTGGTTGAAGGGGTCGATTCACAGCTCTTGACCCAGCGTATGTAAACACATGAATGCGCTCACACACACACACACACACACACACACACACACACACACACACACACACACACACACACACACACACACACACACACATGTAAATATAATGGGACTCCTGAGAGCATGGGTGAACCTTGGGTCTCCCGTAGCTTTTAAAGGACGATTTGAGATACTTAGGGAATAAGAGAAATACCTTAATTACCGTGTTGACAGATGGCGCCATCTTACTCTCAAAGCTGGAAACGTAATTAGAATACACAGAGATCAAAGCCTCTGAACCGCACGTGTATCTGATTGAATCGTCTTCATTACCATCTCAAGGGGATCAAAGACGACCATATTGACCTCTTACTTTAAGTATTGATACTCGATCACATCGATTTTCTCTCGAAATACAGTGTTACGAAGTTAACTTACTAAAGTAACACATTAGGAAACGGAGGATCAAGCCTCTATAACGTCTTACCCTGAATGATTCTCTGAGGTAACAGCTAATATACTTCCCAGTGGTATAGAGGCTAATAAGTATATCATTTAGCAAGAATTCATTTAAAATTAAGCATTTTCTAAAAAAAATTCTTACACGTTTAAAGATATATTTTTTTTCATTTAAGTTAATATAAAAAATAATAATTTTGTTCCAAAAGAACCTTAGAAAACTTGCCCAACCTTATTATAGGAAACGCAATGTAATTTGGCCTAATCCAACTAAATATAACGTACATAAGTTTACAATAATTTAATAATAAACACAATGAAATATATTTTCCTGGTTAGGTTCAAAATGATTTTTGCGAAATTATTGCATAAACAAATTTTCGCTTGCCTTATACGGCAAGAAGAGCGTTGCTATTTAAGCTAAAATCACAAAGTTGTACATATTCGACACGACATATATATATATATATATATATATATATATATATATATATATATATATATATATATATATATATATATATATATATATATATATATATATATATATATATATATGCAGGACAAGCCACGGGGGGGTGGAAATCTTTAGCTCAAGTACTTTCACACTTCTCAGTGCGTCATCAGGAGCTGTGCAATGTTGCAAGGGAGCAACCAAAGCAGGGAGAGAGAGGTCTCAGAGTAGCGTAGGTGTCACTGGCCACGGTTACCCTTAGACTCTAAGGGTAAGTTTCTGTACAATCTTATTCTTCTGTTTTTTCTTGTTTCTTCTGCTTCTTCGACCAGTGAATATTACACTCCTTCAGCTGCTTGTGTTCCTGTTCATTCCATATTCTTCTTCCACCCTTCTCTCTCCCTCCTCTCTTCCCTCTCCTTCTCCCTTCTTTCATTCTTCCCTCTCTTTCGGTTCCCAATTCTTCCCAGTAGTTGGTTGGTTTACCCTCACAGAAAAGAGAGATATCGCTGAACCCATTAAAGGAATACGTGAATAGCGGAACACCCTTTGATCGTCTTCAATTCCTTTGCCAGTTCATCTAATCCCTTCACAAAGGGGTTCCCAGCCTGCTGCTCCATTTTTGATTAATAAAGAGCGTTTATACATCACTCCAAGTGTAAACATGAGTATTTATTACCCTAAATTAGATAATACAATATTCCATTATTACTTTCTGTTGCTGTATTACGCTGTTAGAGACTGTTATTATATGCCGTTGTTATATTAATCTTAAATCTTGTTATATTCTCTTGTTATGTTCTCTTGTTTATGCTCTTACATACCATTGTTATTTCTCTACGATTTCTTGTTGTTATATCCCGTTGTTTAATCCTGTTTTTTCAAGTCATGATTTATTCTGTTATAGAAACAGAGGCAAAACAGTGGCACATGAATATGCAATTAGCAAAACCATTAATTCGCTCACTAATACTGTCATTAAAACCTGGTTTAACACAACAACAAGTTTTGCCTTTGTCATTAGGTATCCCTGGAGAGATTCAGTATTGGCCAGATTTTTTCCTCTCTCCCTTCAAGGTTTCCATTTATAACTTGAGAACGCCTTATCCGATCGGCTTGAAATTTCACACACATATGTAGTGTCATTAAGGAATGGTCCATGCAAATTTAGGTATTTATTGGTACCCTCTGATTAATTTTATTGGAATATTTTTTCGGATTCGGCTCCCATGCGATAACTTGAGAATGCCTCTTTCGATTGGCTTCAAATTTTCAACACTACTGTATCGTATTTAGAAGAAAAATTGGAATTTTTATAGGAGTAGGTTCTAATTTGCCAATTATATTTTTGAATAGTTTCAATCTTTAATGACTGGTACATCTTGTTTACAGAATAATGCCAAGCAAGTTTATGCTCTGTAGATTTCGTAAATTTCCTAAGAGAGAGACAGACAGAAAGAGACAGAGACAAAAAATACAGAGAGAGAGAGAGGCTAGATCCCACCTCCATCATTAAGAGACAGATTATTATTATTATTATTATTATTATTATCATTATTATTATTATTATTATTATTATTATTATTATTATTATTATTATTATTATTATTATTATTGCTGTTGTTGTCAATCAGGTCTGATTATGAGACGGAGAGAACAGCTCCAATTCCTTGCTTCAGGAGCCTTACATCAGCAACGAGACACACCCTGTTTTCCCTCAGTCCTTGAAGGGCAAAATACACTAGCCACCCGTGCCCTATTAACGGAGGCTAGTTCCACTTTTACGAGAGTTTAGCCTTCATGGGGGAAGCAGACCAGCTACCCTGGAGAACTACAGGTCATCTGGTAGGTCAGGGTAGGAGACGCAAGTTCTGGGAAAGATCTAAAGAGATACTGGAAAAAACCGTTCAGACTCGGGAACCTTCACGATTTCATTACCCTCTAACCTTTATCCACTGGTGTGGTCTATGCATTAGTATGGTTTATCCACTCGTATGGGCTATCCACTAGCGCGGTTTATCCTCAGGTGTGGGTAGCGTTATTAAGTCAGCCACGGATTCAACCTCTGAGAAATACGATATTTTCCGATGTGATTCACTAGCTAGTTTATTGTGATAATTTATTGTTGAAGGAACAGAGTTATGATGGTGGTGTCCAGTCTTCAGTGGTCGTAGGTCGTAGTTACAGCAGCAGAGTTATGTTGGTGGTGTCCAGTCTTCAGTGGTCGTAGGTCGTAGTTACAACAGCAGAGTTATGTTGGTGGTGTCCAGTCTTCAGTGTTTGTAATTACAACAGAGTTATACAACTGGATGCGACCCACAATAGTCGGCTAACACTCAGGAATATACTCACCTAACTGTAACTGAGGGGAGGTCAAATCTCGGCTCTTGGTCCCTTAACTGCTCTCAAACTGTCAACTTAATTCTTGGTTTCATGTGATTTATCATATCTTCTCTTAAAACTGTGCATGATATAACCTTCCCCCAGATCCCCCATCAGACTATTATACTTCCTAGCCCATCAGGTAAGAACTGAGCTAACCAAGCAATTAACAACCCTACCAACTAACCACCCATCAATTCATTCCATCAAACTGTAAATAAAAAAATTATGATATTTCGTCCCTTTCTTAACCATTATCAATCAAGAACATTTTTCATAACATTCAAAATCTCAGGATTAGCTGATTGGGAAGATACTGTAGGGGACAGATTATTTGCTGCCAGGTAGTGACTTACCAGTTCGTGAAGCAATAACTGCTGCAGAAGAGGTGGCACACAGCCTTAGTAACCCCCATGTAGTCGACAGGTTTTCAACCCCATTAACCACCCAAGCCAAAGCCCAGAAAGCTTTATACACCGAAAGACTTATACCTCTGTGTGTGTGTGTGTGTGTGTATATATATATATATATATATATATATATATATATATATATATATATATACACACACACACTGAAAGTTTAAGTACCTTACGTGTTTGACGCCCGTTGTATACTCACGCTGTTTGCATGCGTCGTGATGTTGTCAGTAGCGTTGTTTTGGTCAAGAAGGTAGTCAGTGTTGGAGGTAGGTGGGAAAGTGGTGGTGGTGGTGGTGGTGGTGGTGGTGGTGTTGACCAAAACACTCATGATAGCAAAGGCTCCAGCTGCTCCACTGCCTCCAGCTGCCTCTATAGTATACACCTCCACGGTCATGATAGTCACTAACAGGGAATACCTGGAAATAAATATCGTTGATCTAATATATATATATATATATATATATATATATATATATATATATATATATATATATATATAATATATATATATATATATATATATATATATAATATATAATATATATGTATTTTGATCAGTTACATAATATTGGTAATTTTTACAATAATTTTATTTTTGTTTATGTCTCTGTTTAATTGTGTTTATTCATGCAAATTTTGTTTCATTAAATTTATATAATAACGAGAGTGAACCTCAGCGATGGTTCAATGGAGTGTTCACTTCCTCCATATTCTCAACATTTTCTGTTATCTAAGATTTTTTCTATTTTTTGCAAAAATTCTTCTCGTGGTATTTCGGTTATATATTGTAAATTATCAGTGATTGTAATTGAAAATTCTGTTAAGATGCTTTTCTAAGATTCTAATCACTAATCCTTTTAACTCGCATCAATCCCCAATATCTAAACCGCGAACCAGTTCCCCCAATATCTAAAACTCGAACCAGTTCCCCCAATATCTAAAACTCGAACCAGTTCCCCCAATCATCTAAAACAGCGAACCAGTTCCCCCAATATCTAAAACACGAACCAGTTCCCCCAATATCTAAAACGCGAACCAGTTCCCCCAATATCTAAAACGCGAACCAGTTCCCCCAATATCTAAAACGCGAACCAGTTCCCCCAATATCTAAACCGAACCAGTTCCCCCAATATCTAAAACTCGAACCAGTTCCCCCAATATCTAAAACACGAACCAGTTCCCCCAATATCTAAAACGCGAACCAGTTCCCCCAATATCTAAAACGCGAACCAGTTCCCCCAAATCTAAAACCGAACCAGTTCCCCCAATATCTAAAACGCGAACCAGTTCCCCCAATATCTAAAACCGAACCAGTTCCCCCAATATCTAAAACTACGAACCAGTTCCCCCAATATCTAAAACGCGAACCAGTTCCCCCAATATCTAAAACTCGAACCAGTTCCCCCAACATCTAAACCGAACCAGTTCCCCCAATATCTAAAACTCGAACCAGTTCCCCCAATATCTAAAACGCGAACCAGTTCCCCCAATATCTAAAACGCGAACCAGTTCCCCCAATATCTAAAACGCGAACCAGTTCCCCCAATATCTAAAACGCGAACCAGTTCCCCCAATATCTAAAACGCGAACCAGTTCCCCCAATATCTAAAACTCGAACCAGTTCCCCCAATATCTAAAACTCGAACCAGTTCCCCCAATATCTAAAACACGAACCAGTTCCCCCAATATCTAAAACGCGAACCAGTTCCCCCAATATCTAAAACACGAACCAGTTCCCCCAATATCTAAAACACGAACCAGTTCTCCCAATATCTAAAACGCGAACCAGTTCCCCCAATATCTAAAACAGCGAACCAGTTCCCCCAATATCTAAAACACGAACCAGTTCCCCCAATATCTAAAACACGAACCAGTTCCAAAATCTCCAAAGCACGAACCAGTTCCTCCCAATATCTAAAACGCGAACCAGTTCCCCCAATATCTAAAACACGAACCAGTTCCAAAATCTCCAAAGCACGAACTAGTTCTCCAATCTCTAAAACGTTGCATTTAAAAGACACTAGAGAATAAAAAAGTCACAATACCGTGACTGGAACAATACACCGATAACCCTAACATAGGAGAAAGGAGATTACGACGATGTTTCGGTCCGACTTGGACCATTTACAAAGTCACAGTGTGACTTTGTAAATGATCTAATAGGACCGAAACGTCGTCCTAAGCTCCTCTCTCCTATATGAGAGTTATTTGTGTATTAAAAACCTCTATAACACCATGTGCTTAACCCTTGCTTGTTAAGTTACAGAGATACAGGGGACAAGTGATGCATTACCTGGTAATGTTATACAAATGGAAGGTCGTCAACGTTCTCCTTCACCTTTGTCACCTTCGTCCACTCTCCCAGCTGCATGTATCACAAACCATAGCAACATTTTAATCCATTGTTAGTGTCGTGATTTTCAGTTCTCTGTCATGACTGTACCTGCCTGTGCTTGCACCGCCTAATTTCGCTTCCTCTGTTAGTTTGCGTTCTAGACCAAGGCTACTTTGATGTCCGACTTCCTCAGGGTAAATATCACATCTAATCTCGCCGGTTCATCGCCTGCTGCTAGTTCTTCTTCGGTTCCAGAGGTAGCTGCGTGCCACGACTAGTTCCAGAGACAGTGCTTAGGCAGAGAACTCGTATTTGCATATATTGTTTTATTTTTCAGCTTCGACTTGACATCCTATAAAGAAAAAAAAGGAGAAAATATATTAATGTCAGTGAAGAATGTACATCTTGTTTGTTCACAGAATATCAATCATACAATGCATACAGCGTAATATACATAAATAATACTCACACAGGACGACATGCAATCACACAATACATCCTGCACAGCATACATAATATACGTACACAGAACGACTTACACACAATACGTACAGCACAGCATACTTAATACGTATACATAACATACATGTATGCATCATACATACATACACAGTACGCTTAACGCATCAGTAACATTAACAAAATAAATAACTAAGTGATGAAAAGCAACTCAATATATTTTGGAATCCTATACAACACAACAAATGAAATGGAATTTCCTGTTGAATTTGTCGTGACAGACAAACATTGTTCAGAATTTTTTCTGGTGATGGGACACAAAATTCTATATATTTTCAAAAATTTTAGATAGCTCGAATTTGCCATTAATGCATAGAATTTACACTTTATAGAAAGGGAAAATGATTTACAGGGAATTGGATTCTTTCCGTCCGCCCCTTCAAGGGATCGTTTATCCAGAGAACTGGAGTGATATCACAATTTGCAAATCACCACAGAAAAAATATAGTGAACACTTCAAGAATTCGTACTCACAATTTATATATAATAAATAATTATCATAAAAATACAATACTTAAACATAACATTAAAAAATAAATATAATATGAAAGCATAATATATTTGGTATATACAACATAACAAATAATAATTTCTGTATAATTTAGTAAGAAAAACTTTTAAATTGTTCAGGTGAAGGGAACAAACTAAATTTTAAAAATTTTGAAAAGCATAACATAGTTTACACTTTGAAAGGGAAAGTTTGGGTTGGATTCTTTCCGTCCCCCTTCAAGATCTTTCATCCGATAATCCGGAGTGATATCCATAGCAAATCACACTGTAAAAAAATAGTGCATTCAATTTCTGATTTCACAATCCAGATTAATTGTTAGATTTATTCTCTTTTCTTATATCTCGGGTATTATTTATAGAAAAAATTGTTTTATATGCCAACTCTGGTGGCGTGTTCGGTAATGGATTATTCGCGAAGGCTTTCGGTAATATCGAGCATGAGTCGTTGTTGTTGGTAATGAAAGCCACGGGGGTCAATTTTTATGGTCTTGATCCAACGGGGGTCAATGTTTGTGCATAGTGAAACACCTGGGGTCTATGTTTGATGGTAGTGCAACCCACACCTATAATGTTTTGATGTATGAGACCAAACCTGGGGTCAATGTTTTGTGGTAGTGAACCCACACCTGGGAGTCAATGTTTGATGGTGTGTACCCTCCCCTTTTGGTCAATTGTTTGAATGGTAGGGACCCCAACCTGGTAATGCTTGATGGTAGTGAACCCACACCTGTTTCCAATGTTTGATGGTAGTGATCCCTAACCTGGGGGTCAATGTTTGTGGTAGTGAACCCCACCTGGGTCAATGTTTGATGGTAGTGAACCCAACTGGGGTCAATGTTTGATGGTAATAAACCTACACCTGGGGTCAATGTTTGGATGGTAGTGAACCCAAACCTGGGGTCATGTTTGATGGTAGTGAACTACACTGGGTCAATGTTTGATGGTAGTGAACCCACACCTGGGGTCAATGTTTGATGGTAGTGAACCCACACCTGGGGGTCAATGTTTGATGGTAGTGAACCCACACCTGGGGTCAATGTTTGATGGTAGTGAACCCAAACCTGGGGGTCAATGTTTGATGGTAGTGAACCCACACCTGGGGTCAATGTTTGATGGTAGTGAACCCACACCTGGGGTCAATGTTTGATGGTAGTGAACCCACACCTGGGATCAATGTTTTATGGTAGTGAACCCACACATGGGGTCAATGTTTGATGGTAGTGAACCAACCTGGGGGTCAATGTTTGATGGTAGTGAACCCTACACCTAGGGGTCAATGTTTGATGGTAGTGAACCCACACTGGGGGTCAATGTTTGATGGTAAGTGAACCCACACCTGGGGGTCAATGTTTGATGGTAGTGAACCTACACCTGGGGGTCAATGTTTGATGGTAGTGAACCCACACCTGGGGGTCAATGTTTGATGGTAGTGAAACCACACCTGGGGGTCAATGTTTGATGGTAGTGAACCCACACCTGGGGGTCAATGTTTGATGGTAGTGAACCCACACCTGGGGGTCAATGTTTGATGGTAGTGAACCACACCTGGGGGGTCAATGTTTGATGGTAGTGAACCCACACCTGGGGGTCAATGTTTGATGGTAGTGAACCTACACCTGGGGTCAATGTTTGATGGTAGTGAACCCACACCTGGGGGTCAATGTTTGATGGTAGTAAAAAAACACCTGGGGGTCAATGTTTGATGGTAGTGAACCTACACCTGGGGGTCAATGTTTGATGGTAGTGAACCCACACCTGGGGGTCAATGTTTGATGGTAGTGAACCCACACCTGGGGGTCAATGTTTGATGGTAGTGAACCTACACCTGGGGGTCAATGTTTGATGGTAGTGAACCCACGCCTGGGGTCAATGTTTGATGGTAGTGAACCCACACTGGGGTCAATGTTTGATGGTAGTGAACCCACACCTGGGGTCAATGTTTGATGGTAGTGAACCCACACCTGGGGTCAATGTTTGATGGTAGTGAACCCACACCTGGGGTCAGTGTTTGATGGTAGTGAACCCACACCTGGGGGTCAATGTTTGATGGTAGTGAACCCACACCTGGGGGCCAATGTTTGATGATAGTGAACCCACACCTGGGGATCAATGTTTGATGGTAGCGAACCTACACCTGGGGGTCAATGTTTGATGGTAGTGAACCCACACCTGGGGGTCAATGTTTGATGGTAATGAACCCACACCTGGGGTCAATGTTTGTTGGTAGTGAACCTCCACCTGGGGGTCAATGTTTGATGATAGTGAACCCACACCTGGGGTCAATGTTTGATGGTAGTGAACCTACACCTGGGGGTGAATGTTTGATGATAGTGAACCCCACACTGGGGTCAATGTTTGATGATAGTGAACCCACACCTGGGGTCAATGTTTGATGATAGTGAACCCACACCTGGGGGTCAATGTTTGATGATAGTGAACCCACACCTGGGGGTCAATGTTTGATGATAGTGAACCCACACCTGGGGGTCAATGTTTGATGGTAGTGAACCTACACCTGGGGTCAATGTTTGATGATAGTGAACCCACACCTGGGGGTCAATGTTTGATGTTAGTGAACCCACACCTGGGGTCAATGTTTGATGATAGTGAACCCACACCTGGGGGTCAATGTTTGATGGTAGTGAACCTACACCTGGGGTCCGTGTTTGATGGTAGTGAACCCACACCTGGGGGTCAATGTTTGATGATAGTGAACCTACACCTGGGGGTCAATGTTTGATGGTAGTGAACCCACACCTGGGGGTCAATGTTTGATGGTAGTGAACCCACACCTGGGGTCAATGTTTGATGGTAGTGAACCCACACCTGGGGTCAATGTTTGATGGTAGTGAACCCACACCTGGGGTCAATGTTTGATGGTAGTGAACCCACACCTGGGGGTCAATGTTTGATGGTAGTGAACCCACACCTGGGGTCAATGTTTGATGATAGTGAACCACCCCTTTGGGGGTCAGTGTTTGATGGTAGTGAACCTACACCTGGGGGTCAATGTTTGATGGTAGTGAACCTACACCTGGGGGTCAATGTTTGATGATAGTGAACCCACACCTGGGGTCAATGTTTGATGGTAGTGAACCTACACCTGGGGGTCAATGTTTGATGGTAGTGAACCCACACCTGGTGGTCAATGTTTGATGGTAGTGAACCCACACCTGGGGTCAATGTTTGATGGTTGTGAACCTACACCTGGGGGTCAATGTTTGATGATAGTGAACCTACACCTGGGGGTCAATGTTTGATGGTAGTGAACCTACACCTGGGGGTCAATGTTTGATGGTAGTGACCCACGCCGGGGGGTCAATGTTTGATGGTAGTGAACCCACACCTGGGGTCAATGTTTGATGATAGTGAACCCACACCTGGGGGTCAATGTTTGATGGTAGTGAACCCACACCTGGGGGTCAATGTTTGATGGTAGTGAACCCACACCTGGGGTCAGTGTTTGATGGTAGTGAACCCACACCTGGGGGTCAAGGTTTGATGGTAGTGAACCTACACCTGGGGGTCAATGTTTGATGATAGTGAACCCACACCTGGGGGTCAATGTTTGATGATAGGAAACCACACCTGGGGGTCAATGTTTGATGATAGTGAACCCACACCTGGGGGTCAATGTTTGATGATAGTGAACCCACACCGGGGGGTCAATGTTTGATGATAGTAAAACCCACACCTGGGGGTCAATGTTTGATGTAGTGAACCCACACCTGGGGGTCAATGTTTGATGATAGTGAACCCACACCTGGGGGTCAATGTTTGATGATAGTGAACCCACACCTGGGGGTCAATGTTTGATGATAGTGAACCCACACCTGGGGTCAATGTTTGATGATAGTGAACCCACACCTGGGGGTCAATGTTTGATGATAGTGAACCCACACCTGGGGGTCAATGTTTGATGGTAGTGAACCCACACCTGGGGGTCAATGTTTGATGGTAGTGAACCCACACCTGGGGGCCAATGTTTGATAGTTCAGTCCCTCAGCCTTGATAGGTGATCAGTCCCACAGCCTTGATCAATCTCAGTCAGAGGCAGAGGGACTGACACTAATATCCTTATCGTCCACTCTCTCCAGTACACAATCTCTGCATTAAATTGAAAAAAAGGCCACTGGTGGGCGAAACGTCTTCAGAAAAAGATACCCGGGTGTTACACATTGTTTTATCCATCATTTTATCGGTACTTTAAACCCTCAACGTAAAAAAAAATACTTCATTTTCTCGACTTAGACCTTAAATAAATCTTTCGTGTACGTTAAATACTTCCTTAGTGTATAAACAGCATTGAAATTTAGAAAAAAA